GCGCCAGGAGGTGGGGCAAATAAGCATATTTTTTTCTCCCTCTGGCAGTTTTGAGACCCCTTGCTCATGGGAGTAAAAATACCGATTGAGTCATTTTTTCCATCTCGTTTTTTATCAGGTTTGCCAATTCCTCTCTTCGCTGCCATCCAGAGTAAACAAGTTGCTACGACCTGAAGGCAGCTTTGCAGAACTCGCGCAGGAAGAAATGTGACGTCATCAGCTGCGCCACCATCGCTTCATGCACAAAATTGTCCCAAAGTTGTGATAATGTATACAGTAACGATCTAACTTAAAATAAAGTGAATGGAGGTTAATACGTTACACTTCCTTTCTGTGGGCTTTGTGGGATTCCTCTTGCCTATTCAAATGACCTGCAACAAAAGCCGAGCTTTATCTTGACGTCACGGCCACTGAGCCACGGCGGCGACTCCCAAGATGAGAAAACATGAATGGAATCGCAAGAGCCTGATCACATTGCGGTAAATCCTAGTCGAAATACACTCGCAGTCGCTGTTGCTAATGCGTTCTTGCGGGATAAGCATTAAAGGTGTTACTAAAGCCTAGATAGTGCCTATTCATTACATCTCTTGTCATGAATGAATATGGTCATGCTCACTGGCCATGAATGAAGCGATGTCTCTTCTCTTTCTTTCTTTATAGATCAAGATCCATAATGAAGCAACAAATATGCGAAGAATGTAGATTAGCGGGAAGGGAGTTTCAATCTTGCCAATTCACGCCGCCGCATCTGCCGAATCATTTATTGATTATTGAAAGATGAGAACCTTTATAGGTACATTTCGGACATCAGTTAATCTTTATCTGTGCAAACTCTAAGGCTTATGTCCTTTGAAAACCTCTTTCGGGCAGACACACACAAAAAAAACAAAAAAAATCCATGTATCTCTTCTATGCTATGTATCAATAAACTATCAGCATTATAGTGTTTACCAATTCCTCTTGCAACTATTTGAAAAGGAAGGGATCAATCTAAATTTAACAAACAACTGATCCTATTATGTCACACTTCACAGGGAAACCTCACTGACAAACGCAGCCCAAGATGCAACACACAGAGAGAAAATGGAAACCCTTTCTTAAGATCACCTCTGGTTTCTTTTGAGCACAGTGATTTTCTCCTTAGTTCAACCTGTTATACTTTTTACTAAATAACGATAAACTATTATCATCGATAGCATCACATATTATATGTTTTACCTGTAGTCTGTTACAATGAATAAGTTACATATATCTATTATCATACAGGATAGTGTTGTTGCCTTTGTTTTCGTTGTTGCGATTTTCAGCACTGTAGCCATCAGTATTACAATTAACATCATCATTACCATTGCGGTCGGTATCCTGCAAGCATGATTCTCATTACCAAGGCACGTGTTGGGTCTCTCGCAACGGAGCTGACTTTATATCCTTATTTGGGAATATTTAAGATACAGCTTAAGTTCATTATTTAGTGAAGAGTATCGCAGGTAAAATTAAGAAGAAAATATTGTGGAATATTAAAGCACGAAGTAGGAAGTTGTTTTATTCTATTCAGAGACACTTAAAAGAATCATCGTGTTTCAAATGAATCTTAACAGAACAGTAATTATGGTTACAAAAAAAAAAAAAAAAAAAAAAAAAAAAAAAAAAATCGTTTTTCTATCCACTTATATCGTTATGCTCCATGATATGGAATTGATTCTTTTACACTTTATTTCCTTCATGATTTTCAGTTAATGTCAAACAAAGCTTATGACATCCATTGTGCTTTCTTCCCTGCCTATTAATAATGAGTAGAACTGTTAACAATACAGGGTTTAACAAGATAACTTAAAATGTAAATATGTTTCCTGATAAATTTGCTTGAGAACACAACCAGCGACTTGGCAATCCTAAGGCTAACACGTTCATTACTTGTTAGCCCCCTCGACACCGTTATTATTTTGTGGGTAAAAATAACCTTTGAGTGAGGACATTTTCTGAATGAAAACTGTGGGATCTTTCTTAGGGAATTTTATCCTACGTCAGACACTGTGGAAACCCTTCTCTTGCTTCTAAATGCCATGTAGCCTTAATTAATCTTAATGCAAAGATTTTGTATTACCTGATTCACACGGATATCAGTCTACTTTTGTCATGATAAATAGACTGGATAATGCATCGAATACTGTAAATGCAGGTCAACAGTCAAGGTCATTTTTGGAAGTGTTGATTTTTGGCCCAAGGTCGGTAAAACAAACAAACAAAAAAGGTGAAATTGAAACGAAGAATATGTATAAGCACACACACATATACAAAACGCATGGATGGAAAAGTATGTCCCAGAGGTTTAGGCAGTTATTTAAAATAATATCTTGTATGTTGATTTACCCTTCTGCAATTGATTTGATTCTCACTGGCTCCTTGATCGTCGATGCTAATTCTTTTTCCGCCTCCGCACTGCACACGTCAGGCGATCGTTCTAACATCAATCGTGTGACAGAAAACGAGCTCGGTTTAT